TTACAGACAAAGACGACATGTAAATAAGCACGCGAAACGGACCAATGTAAAAGCGATATTTTTCAAAATTATAGTGCAAACATAAAACTAGAATAAATTTTACTTATCTCAAGATGTGTTTTAAATGTTTTCGTTTCATTTGCAACGTTAATTTCGTTTTAAATACAAACCAAAGACCATTTGTATTTTCAAAACAACAACAATGAAAATGGCGGGAAATTTTCGAACTTCTTATGTCACTAGCAGGGGTGAAATACGGAAAATACGCGCACCAGGTCCCGGATGTAATGACGTATATGAGTTCTACGAGTGTTTTAATTTCCAGTAAAACACCATTGTCCATATAATAAAATAATATATTATTGATTTTTCCACGAGGGCGCTCATTATTCTCCACCAAATCAACAAGAGTGAGAAATATGGCGGATTTTATGAAGCCGATTCTCGGTCATAAAGCTTCAGTTTTGGAAGGACACAACCTTCTTTTTGTTCATTGTGTATCGTCACAGCCTATGCTATTGGTTCTAGATGGGTTATCGTGCGTTCAGTTGAAATGCCGTGAGATTCACATCAGTTGTTTGGATAGTTTGGTAGAAGAACTCATGACGAATCGCTATTTGTCTCTAAAAGTTGACGAAATCTTCGCCGATTGCAATAGCTCATTGATAGAGATGCATCGCAGTTGTGTTTTTAGGGTAAGTCGTTTGTTTTAATAGTTTATAAAGCGAATACATAGGCAATGTAGCTACGCAATGCTTTTTCTACAAATTTTTATAGCCAATGCATGTTGGTAACAATATTTGTGCTTTCTATTTTGAATAATATACGTATATAGAACTAAAAAAGTTTAAGTTAGAGAAGCTTAGACTGTTCATTTCGTTTGATCATAGAAGTTTGAATACTTTGATGTCATTAACCCATTGAATTGAATTGCATCGAGTCGCATTGTACCCTGATGCGCCCTACTTTATTATTTTACTCTGTCTAATGCCAGATTATTTTACTCTGTCTATTAAATGGCACCCAATTTTTCTCGTCAAGGAAATAGCGCTGGCACTTAATGGTTACCTGGCCTATCTGCCTAAATGTTAAATCATTGAGTTGCATTGCGCCCTGATAGGCCCAACTTTAATATTTTACTTTGTCTATAATGCCGGCAAATGATTTTACTCGTCAGGGGGAGAGCGCTGGGGCTTAAAGGGTTACACTGAAGATTGTTTTCATATGTTGCAGTTCTCTGACCACAGTGATCTCAGGCGAGATGGAACAGGACAATCTCTTATCTTTGAGAATGTTATTTTGTGGGATTTCGATATTCTGCAATCACCGTACCATTTCTCAAGCAATTCAACATCGAGATCCAAATACTGTTAATGAAGAGTTGGACAGTGTGTTGTCGCCAATCAATTTACAAGAGCAAAGTTGATGTAATGTGATCTACAACCAATAAATTATGTGTGCTTGGTGGGTATTACTCTACAGTGCAGCACTGCTGATTGTGAAAAGTGGACAATGGGGCAAGAGATGATCCGCTATAGACTACTAGAATATTGTAAATTGTTATTTTATTTTATTTTATTTTATTTTATTTTATTTTATTTTATTTTATTTTATTTTATTTTATTTTATTTTATTTTATTTTATTTTATTTTATTTTATTTTATTTTATTTTATTTTATTTTATTTTATTTTATTTTATTTTATTATGGGTCCCTACAATTATATGTTCAATTGGATCCCTACAATTATATGTTTGTGATATGTTCAACTTTGAGTGTGCATCCACACTGGGCGAGCTGAAAAGTTTGCCTGACGACGGTGGGAATCTAACCCGCGACCTTTGGGATACTACTCGAATGCTCCACCAACTGAGCTCGGCTCATAGCTCAGTTGGCAGAGCATTGGACTAACATCACAAACATGACAAACATCATATTCATCTAAATACATTTGTATTTGTATTTGTATTTGTATTTGTATTTGTATTTGTATTTAATTATATCCTTAGTTAGCTAATGCTAGTTTACACAAGGTCTATATACCATAACTAGAAGTTACTATCGCAAGGAAAGTGCTGCCTCACCCCCAAGGAATCAAAGGCAGCATGCGCAATTTGATAAATAAGGGACTGTTTATATGATCTAGCCTCCTCCGCAGGCAACTCTTTGGCAAAAATATTATGAATAACAGCGAATTTAAAGTAAGGGATTGTTAGGGATCACAGAGTGTGACCCTATAATATTCACATTTTTGCCAATTTTGTATTCATAATAATACTTTTGCCAATTCTTGCCAAAGAGTTGCCTGCGGAGGAGGCTATACATGATCCTGCTTTGCCAGGACGAGATGCCAGGCAGGATTATTTTGATGTATTACATCTAAAATAAATCACTGTGCACGATTCAGCAAGATTGTTCAAGCAGCAATAGTAATCTTCTTGAACTACAACATTTGAATTCCGTTGACTTATTTCAATACATTAAAATCACCCGGCTTCCAATATTTACAGTAAACAGCCCCTAAGACATATGTTCATGAGGTAAGAAAAGTACAATTTGAATATCAAACACCTTGCAAAAAGTCAAAGGTCAGCTAAATTTTTCTACTTTCTTGGCATTGGGCAGTTTTATATGAACACCTTCAATGCTTATAATTTCTTGCTTTTGTATGTTTATTACAATATATGCAGGTTTATTAGGATAGCATGACCATTTGACATGGCTAGCTAGCCACTGAATACTGTATAATATCATATATACAGTGTGTCTAAAAAAAGTGAATCCTTTCAAATTTGACAGCTCTAATTGCTTTGAATTAATGATTGGGTAAGAACACAAGGTCTTGTACTCATGGGACAAAACTCAAAGAAATAAAAATTAGAAAATTTAAAAGAATTACAGTATTCCTTGTGTTCTTACGTAACTATTAATTCAATGCAATTAGACTGCAGTCACTGCAATAAGGTTCACTTTTTTTTGAGACACACTGTAGAAATACTAAGTCAGTTTTTGTCCCAATTATTATTTACATGGCACCTTCAAGGCCACCCCTATTGCATGCAAATTAACCGAACAATCTGATGGGGAGACAAAATCTATTTGTTAACATTTTTGTTTAATTAATATGTCAGCTTCAGATGACACCATTCATTGTACTCAGCCAGAGATTGTTCTCAGTCAGAACTACAAAACTATATAAGAAAGAAATTGTGAGCATTATTGAAGAATATTCTTGGGTTTCATATGACGTCACAGAAGTGACGGGGGTCAACTCTATAACAAAATACAGTTATCATAGTGAGTCGATTGTTTGTTTTATGTATTAGCCTTGTGTTTGGTGGCAATACATGGAATTTCGTATAATTTATTACTCCAGTACAGCATAAGCATCAATACATGTGAGGTTGACCCCCCATCAGATGCACTGCATAATGCTTAGTTAGTGAAACCCAAGAATAGCATACCCGGAAACATATTGCATGACACAGCCAGGTGAATGTATGAGTATAGGTCAGTAGGATTATTTCATATTATGTTAAAGATGCTGTACGGTCTGATCTGCACATGTGCACAAAGGAGGAGCCCTCTTTTATACAAACAGTTTATTTAGATTTTATTTCGTTTTTTGTTCTTGCAAAGCTTGATTGTTGTGTCTTTATAATTTATTATACTCTAGAATCATGAAAATGTAAATAGTTGTTGAATAAAATTCTATATTTTGGATACCGAAATGTAAACGAAGCCTTTGTGTACATACGGATTGTACACATCTTTAACAATCGATGTCTCAGAGATATCAGGCCATCAGGCATGCATGATACCTGGCCTTGTACAAAAGTCAGTTGACATGCTTTTTGCATGTAACTGCTGGTAGCCTGCTATTAAAAATGCGGTACAGTCCAATCTGCACAATGCACATGTGCAGAAAGGAGCCCTCTTTTTATTTATAAACAGTTTTGATAATTTATTATACTCTAGAATCATGAAAATATAAATAGTTGTCGAATAAAATGCAATATTTTGGATACCGAAAAGTAAACAAAGCCTTTGTTTACATACGGACTGTACCGCATTTTTATTAAAAGTTAATATATACAGACAACAACAATCCCCACTCTGGGTTGCTATAGGAAGGCGGAAGCCTGATTTTATATGCGTGCACAAGTAATTAACAGTCCGTCTGTCCGCGTTTGTTTTTAAAACGCGGTGCTTAAAGCACCATTGCTATAAACATCTAAAATGAACACTATGTAAAATTCATCGCCACACAAACAAATAAACTCAAAGTACATTTTCAAGCTCCTTGTATACAAAAGCAGCAGATCTAAATGCCTTCATGTCACCAGAAAGAAATAAAACCATTCTTACCTGCTTTATTCTTTGATATTCGTTTGCAATCCAACATATAAACTCGTATGATCTCGTATTAAAAGTTTAATTAAACTGCTTGCACAAATGCACAATACAAAATAAAGTTTGACCGCCCCCCTCGTTAACAAAAACTTTCTGAAGCTTAATTATTCCTCCCGGAAATCATCTTAACAGACAGAAAGACAGACAGACACAAATCGAGATCTCGACAATACATAGATCGCGCGAAAGACTGGGTCGAGTAGACTCTGGAGAAACCACCGCGTGTCAAGAATAGGGTGCTGCCTTCGGCAGCAATAAAATTAATTAGTAGTTGGTTAGTTCAAGAATTCAGGTCAACACGCATGTCTTATACTATTTACAATATATATATATATATATATATATATTGTAAATAGTATAAGCATAGCAGTAAATAGTAAATAGTATAAAGCAATAGTAATAGCATATTTTTATGTCTTTATTTGACATTGGACAAAGCAGCAACACTCGCTAAGTACGAGGCGCGCATAAGTCTATACAATGAACTATAGAGTGCTCAAGAACGTGGTACCCCGAATGAGCATAATATATGATTTCGATATTTTTTGTTGAGATTTTTTCTCAAGGTCTTACTTTATTTCCTTCCACTCGTGAGCTCACTACGTGATCATAGTGATCAAACGTAGTGTCCAGGCCTTGTGACCCTGGATGGACACTTAAAAGGAAGAAAACCACACTGTAAACGTAAAGAATTTTATTCATTATTGATATTAAAATTACATAGTCGTGTGTACGGTTCGTTCCTCTACGCCCACGACCTCTTTTAGTGCAATGATCTAATTGTTTACTTAAACACCTGTAACCTTATTGTTGGTGGCATAATTACCCTTCGTTTCTACCTGTTGCACTATGAATTGCCTAGAGTATATATAACTGGCAGACAACCCTGGTCTTACAATGCTTCTC